GGGACGTAATGGCTGGCGCTGGGCTAGGCTCTGAGGCTTGTGTCTGAACTTGCAAAGCCGGAAGCTGAGCAGGTTGCGAAGCCTGAGGCGGCTCTTGAGAGACTGACTCTGAATTACGAATAGGAGAGGTTTCTGCAGCAGGCTCATGTCTATGCAGATCAGAATCAGTTCTTTTTGGACAATTCACAGTCCATACAAGACTCACGAAGATGCCTCAAGATCGTCCCCACCTAAATTCAAGCTGCCAAACTGCATGCCCACTTTCTCAAGTGGCGTGCCAAAGCTTCCACTGGGCATTATAACTGCTTGATCCGTCTTAAATTTGTGTCTGTGGGCTGCAGAGGTCGGTCTCGTATGGGCAGCTGGTGTCACTGGCTTGACTGGAGCTGGAGCTTGAACATTCTCCACTTTTGCGGTAGAAGGTTGCAATTGGGCAGGGAGCGCAGACAGAACACGTTCTGGGACAGGCTCCGGCTGAAGGCCAGGTACGGATACCTCCTCTGCTTGGACTTTGTTCTCTTCTGAAGCTATAGGCTCCGGAACTTGCGGCCATGACTCAGATGATTGTCGAGATGGTTCATCGTCCCAGGTTGGAGCTTGTACTGTGGTAGGCTCTTCCCATCCTTGTGATGCGGGTTCAGGCTCGGGTTCGGGTTCGGGTTCAGTATGGCTAGGTATAGGTTCAGCAGAAACTGGCACTGTCGATGAAGCAGCGGCAGGGACAGCAGAGACCGAAGGAGCTGGAAGTGCGGGAGAAGGGGCAACAGGCGCAGAAGGAGCGAGAGGCTTTTCTTGCGGTCTACCTTGGCGTCAACAAATATAACGACGGGATAAACCATACACTTACTTCGCGATTTGAGCCCAAGAAAGCTTTGACGTTGCTGGAGTTTTCATCACCTTAGCTAGAGTGGGTTGAACATGGCAAGAAGCAGTGCCATTCGTGGCAGTCTCCCCACCCCATTTAAAAGGTGTACTTGTGTTGAGAGCGGGGTCCGAGGATACACTAACTGCGCCAGCATCAACTGCCTCCACTTCTGGTTCGTCTGCAGGCTTGGGAGAATCGACATCTACAATGACAGGATCCGTAGCGGCAACTTCCTCGATAAGCTTGGAAGTAGGTGCATCAATGGGCTTGCTAGGACCGGACTTTGCATGACGACCATTGGTCTCCTGGTGACCACCACGCGCAAATCCACCACGAGCGGACCCGCCCCGTCCAAGGCCACCTCTTCCCCCACGACCACCTCTGCCACCGCGGAATTCGCCCCGCTCTTTATTTCCTCCAAAATCTTTGGAGTAAGACTGCGAAGTGGACAGCAATGGCTTTTTATCCTTCTTGCGGTGGACAGAACCCCATTGCTCGGCGTGACCTGTATTACGTGTTAAGGTTGGACAGTGTAGGCAAAATCGATGTTGACATTTACCTTCACTGATCTGTGTAACCGCAACTTCAACGACGCCGTTCACTTCATTTAACACTGAGTGAAGGTCTGAACAGGACCGAGTAAAATGTCAGGATGATGTGTCGTCTGCTTCTTGTCACGAGGAATTACCTTCGTACGACCACGATGGGAACAGCTCCTGAAGCTGCTGGGCCTGCGTACGGAACTTCTCAGATACAGCAGGCTCTGTTGAGGTTTTTGGTTTGCGGTAGGTGGATGAATTGTACATGTTTTTGAGGGGACTCCTGCGGTGCAAAAGCAAAACGAGTTGAGGGAGGGACAAGGAAGCGTTGGACAGGTTACGTTTTCAAACTCCGTAGTTACTCGGACCGTGACAAAAAGGTAACGCATTCGGCCCACCGGCACCGGATTATTAACCACTGTAAGTAAGACACTCCGAGTTCTTACTGTTCCTTCTACTTTACTGCCTACGTGACCGGCGTTCTGTGACAGGCGTGGCGTGACAGCCTACACGCTTTTGGACATGTCTAATATCATGAAATAAAGATAACCCTTTGTCTATGAAAACAAGAAAGTAGATATGTTTTGGAAACTCCTGTGCCTGCAATTCATATTCGTTGCCATCACCAAGTACGACGAGTGCCTACGGTCTGCCAATTCTCTATCACCTGAAACTTCGAGTGCCAGTCTTATATTCTATTGCACACTCTCGGTTGTACACTTGGGACTTGGCACCCGTTCTCATCCCGTCTTTGATGCCCAAAGCAGGGTCAGCAAGCTCCTCACGACAAATGCAGTCCAAACGCCCACCAAATCTTTCTCTGCAGATTGGGAGAAGGCCTGCGACAAAGACCATAATAGAATTGCAAACGCCAGTCGACGATGGGAATGACGAGGAAGACGAAGGATACCGCTCTTCCTCCCCTTCGTCCAGTTCGTCTGGGTCTTCTCGAGTGGGGTACCTTCATAATCCACAAAGGGAACCCGACTTCAATTCTGACGACATTTCGAAAGATCTTGAAGTGCTGGAGCAGCTAAGGCGTAGCGTGCACAAGAACCTTCGTCTACGACCTATACGATCTGCGTCGGGATCACTGCGTACATCGCAGCCTCAAAGATCAACGACATTTTCGCAGGACTCGGACTCTCCTCTGGACTCCCTTGCAGACTTGCCCGAACAACTTTCTCCGAGTCCAGACTCTGCCTTCAGTCCGCTCAGCGCGTACTACACCCCGCTGACAGAATTTAGAGCAACACCTATCAGTGCATTCCATCACACCCGACAGCCGTCGTTTGATGCGTCTTCGCGTAGCTCACAGCCTCAGCCTTCACAGCCTGTGCCGCATGCCAGTGGAATCAGTCCCGCTCTCCTTTTAGCCCGACTCTCATCCCCGACCCATCCGTTGCTAATAGACACACGGCCTGTAGCATCATTCGTTTCCTCCCACATACAGCATAGCGTCAATATGGCTATACCGTCTCTCATTCTCAAACGCTCTCGTAAACCAAGTGGCGCATTTCATTCTCTTGACGCTTTACGGCAATTCGTCACTACGGAGGACGGGAAACGTGTATGGGACGATCTCATATCGGGCGACGACTGGGATGGGGATGTCATAGTCTATGATGAAACCATGCATGAGAAGGATCGCCATAATACGCAAGCAACGGCGTGGCTTATGATAGATTTGTTAACTCCTCTCCTGCGCCACGGCGGCGCCGATTTCCTCGAGGGAGGCTTTTCAGCTGCGCGACAGCATTCATACTTGTCACAGCTTCTCACATCAAATTCTGATGCAGGGGAACGCGGTCCCCACGAGCAAAGTCAACAACCTGCCATTTCATTACCCTCTGACGGCTCTGGCGTTGGTAAAAAGGCTCCAGGAGGTTTGTCCCAGCTAGTAACTCAAAACGCACTGCGATTCAAGGCTTTGCCGGAAATCGAGCGACCTGCACCCTCCCCCCAGCCTCTTATGCCTTCTGCTATTCAGACGTGGAATGTTGTAGATGATTATTCCTCTCCTTCCCCTGCACCTTCTTCCACTGTTTTTTCCCGTCCTCAACCCCCTCGTCGGCCGAGTATACCCACATTACGCAGAATAGACACCGATCGACCTTCTTCCGCACTACCTAAACTTCCACTGCCAAACCTACAGCAAAAGCCTAATACCCTTTCGGCTCCGTCTACCAATGAATCTGTCGGCACTATTCGCAGTCGTAGTCGTTCTCCATCACATCTCAGCATTGTCCCACCAATGTCACCCCCGGGATCAGCTCGTTTATTGTCTGCAGGACCAATTACTTCTATGCACGAGCTCTTCCCTCCTCCGTCACCATCGTTTGGACGACCTATGACTCCCAGATCACCAAGGACGCCAATGCCTCTGTCACCAGCCACTGCTCGTCCAGAGTTCGATCAGCCGCTTACAACGGAGGAGCCATTTCCTGAGTTTGCGATTTCTACAATACTCCCCAATTTCCTTTATCTCGGACCCGAACTCACTTTGGAGGAACATGTCGATTCACTTCTGTCTCTTGGTGTCAAACGAATAGTGAATATCGCTGCTGAATGCGATGATGACCATGGACTACGTCTACGTGATCGCTTCGAGCGGTATGTGCACATACCTATGCGGGACACCGTTGAGGAAGACAATATTACTCGTGGTGTCCGTGATGTGTGTGCAATCCTCGGTAAGGGCTTTCAACAGTTAGCGTCAACAGCCTGCTGATCGATTCCTAGACGATGCGCGTTTGCACTCCGCTGCCACGTATGTCCACTGCAAGGCGGGAAAGTCAAGATCTGTAACGGCAGTGATGGCATATCTCATACATGCCAATCACTGGACCTTGTCACAGGCGTATACTTTCGTACTTGAACGGCGGAAGGGCATTTCGCCCAACATTGGTTTCGTCTCCGAGTTGATGACATTTGAAGAACACGAACTAGGAGGAAAATCTGTCGGAGTTGTCAAGATGCCGCAGACAGAATCTGAAGGAGATTCACAACAACCTGGCGGAGCGACAATGAACGGGAACTATCAGGTTGCCTTAGGTGGCAGAAGGCCACAACACTTGCGCGAGAGCTTACCTCCTGCTTTCACGACCCAACACTCCCTCAATTTTGTACCGACTACAGGAGATGTAGCCCAGCTCGGTGACTCTCAGCAAGAAATGGAAATCAAAGATTCCGAAGGGAGATATCGCCATGCGCGTCGAGCACCTGTCGACGAAACTACTCTGCAGCCCATGCGCAGGGTCAGTAAAGCCGGCTTGGAGAGCTCTGCGTACATCTAGGCCATTTTCCGACATGGTCTGCTGCTTCTAGAGGACGGATTCATTGTAATATGAGGACTGTCAACTTGCTTTGCTGCTTTGAAACATTTTGTGTTATACATGCATACCCCACATTAGTTATCCGTCATTATCATCATTCGCACTGCTTTTTATTATCATCATCTGTCTTAACCAATAACCCAATGATTACCCCAGTGTCCGTATTATTGTCGGTGTAGAGTACTTACTTATGGTTCGTGGGACAAATCCTCTTTGGCCCGTCTTCTTTTGAGATAAAGATGAAATTGAGCGCTTCCAACGTGCCCCATGGCTTAGTTGGTCAAAGCGTCCGACTGTTAAGTTACGTAACACTTACGTAATCAACTCTCAATCGGGAGATCGAGAGTTCAACCCTCTCTGGGGCAGAGCATTTTTCCCCCGCCAGACGAGAAATGCTCCTTCCCACTTAATACTTATGCCGCAAATAAACTTTAAAGAGGAAGGTAAACAATTTATAAACAGTTTATAAAGAGTAAAGGGTAAGTTTGCAACTGATATATATAGGATATATGTGATTTCAATACTGCGTAGTCCCCGCCGTTTTCCACATTGACGTGTATTGTGAAGTCTGCAATGTACTGGTACAGAACGTGAGCGACGTTGAAGAAGCAAGAGTCGATGTCTCCAATCATAGACGAAACATCGACTCCCATATTGGCCGCTAGTGGCTTAGTTTATGCAAGGATCACCAATACGCCTTCCCCCACATGCCATTCCGCCGTAGCATTGTCTACATCCAGATCTCTTTGTCGCTTCAGCGTCAATGCTGAATTGTCGCTAGAAGCACCACCAGACACAGACATAATTTGCGCATCAGATAATGAAAGGTCAACGTCAAGGGAATAGAATGGTGCGGCGTCGAGGATGATTCGACGGGATTCGAGATCTAGAGTAGCGTTGGGTATATGCGTGCTTCTCTACATAGAACATGAACATCAATACATATTGCAGAATAGAGATAAAACCTACTAGTTTAGGTACGTGGACCGTGATTTTAAGTTTGTCTCCTTCCTTCACCCACTCGAATTTGGGACATTCCTTCTTTTGTGTAGTCACTGTCCCACTCCTCAATATCCCCTTGGATTTTGTCTCGACTTCCTCTACCAACTTCAGCTTGTTACTGATATCTTCCACGAGCTTGGTCCGAGGTTCGAGCTCCTCCACAAGAGGCTTCTTGGTCTTGTTTGTATCGTCATGTAGGGGGTGTTCAGATGGGTATAAAGCTAGAGGGACCAGAACGTTTCGCGGCAGTAGCTTGCCTTTGGAAGCGATGTTGGGCGTTCCGAGTTGACGAGAAAGCAGAAGAGAGTATTGTGCCTCGATACGTTGTAGGCCAAGCTCTGAAAAGGTGTTGCTCAGACACGACGCAGGTCTCATTGGGATTAAAACACGTACCGACTAAGAAAGCACGGAAGCTTGGATCGCGCAGAGTCCGCGATTTCAATGAAGAATTATAAACGCAGTCAAAGGCTACGGATGGTTTCCCGGCTGCGAAGGATCATGCTGTCAGGCAATGCCGACGTATACGAATTATGTAGCTTGAGCGTTGTACGCCGAGGACCAGGATCAACTAATCCTTGCGACGCTCCTAGCCTCGGCCTGTACCGATGCGCAAGATAGATTCAATTACAACGCCTAGTTTCATGATATTTGGGTGGTCAACCTGTACATTGCACCCACGCAAACCAAGGAACATTGGGAAGATCGGGTATATCGCTGAGATGATCACTCTTACCTTTATCTGCATCGCTACGGGGCTCGGAGACAATGACTGGAACAAACCATCCACCATCCGTGGTAAACGATGTTTCATCCTCGCCCTTCATCGCCCTCTGAATAGTCTCTTCGCTACCCTCCGGCGGTGGCGGAACATTTGCATCCCAAGCTATGTTCACAAACACCTTGATACCCTTAGGCAAAGATAGGATCCCTGGAGTAGGCGTTATTAACGCGGATTGAGAAGGACCATCGAGTTTGGATAGCGACTGGGCTGATTGGGCTGTAATTTTGCATACGGCAGGCTGGAGCGTAGAAGACTTGACACAGAAACCGGGTGCCGGGGAGAGGCACACTCGCACGGTTGCTGTGTGCATGACAGAATGACCGTGATGCGCTGAGATTAGACCAGATTTTGCGCACGTTCTTCAGAGCGGGGTCAGCAGGGAGAAACGATGTTGAGAAGGAGACAAAGTACGGGAGCAAGTGACCTGGTCCGCCAGCGTCGTGCAAAGCGCGGAGCGGAGAAATTCAAAAGTTTTGATTTGGCGAACGACAAGCTTCCGAGTGACGCCCACTCATCCGAATATTGTGCTGCAGCTTTCCTCCTCCACCACAAAATCTCGGTATAAAACTGAGCAGTACTGTTCAGATCACAGATAAAATTGTCTGTATTCCGCAAGATATTGCATCGACGTTCCCTCTACAACGTCGCCAATCGGGTGCGTACAACATCGCGACTCTGATTCGCCCCCCTTCCCCCGAGCTTGTTCACTTTGAGAACATGCTACAATGTATTCGGTTATCGAAGGGCACATCACAGTCCCCTCTCTGAACACACGTCGGCTACTCAGTGGGCCTGTACAATTTTTGGAAACAAGTGACTAACACAGATCCCGCTACTTTTATGACTCGATCTGACCGGCGACCATACAACGCTGACCCTACCCCCTTTCCAGGCCCAACAAGCTTCATATTTCATCAAACTTCCCTTAAATCACGATGCAATCCTTTCCTATAAAAAAGAATTGGAGGTTTTGTGAGTTCGCCATCACCGTCTTTCGCTGTCCTACTGATTGACCACTCTACTAGCTGACACTGATATGTCTAGCCCCACGGACGACATTACACCGGTTCCTGAGGACACTGAGACACTTCAAAACTATATTCAAGACCGTAGGGTGATTGGTGTGAGTCATCGTTGTCTTTGCTCTTGTGGTCTGCTGCATCTTCTATGCGAGCTGCAGAAAGTACACCTTTGGGCCTCGGTATAGTGGGCCTCTTCGGCAACCTCTTCAGATGCCATTCTGAAATAGTTGCCTCAGAGGAACTGGTATCGTGATGCGCCGGTTCATATCCTGTTATATCGCGCCTCAGAGCGTGGCGGTGCAGATGAGCCTCGTCACAGCTCGCCTTTACTCGCTGAGAATTATACTCGGGGTAATGGAGTCGATTTTTTTCTGTTGGGGCCATGGGAGCCCAGTGAAGGCTGTTTGGCGTGATGCCAAGTGGCAGCGTCTACAGCAGCGCTCACCTTGTTTTAACCTATTATTATTGCGGTGTTTGCACACCTGGTGTGTAATGAGCTGCTGGCATGTCTCAAGTGCAGCAATCACCATCAAAAGCGATGCTTCTTACTGCGGTACTGTTTCCACGTATACAGTATACAGTAAACAGTACACATTCATCGCCCAGTCCGTTGGGCGTACTCATCTGTACGCTTAACTGCCTATCTCAAGCTGCAATATGCTCTCCATATAAAGAGAGCAGAGAGCAGCTCTCCTTCAGCAGCGGGATACTCACCTGTCTATCTTCCGGGACATCTACATACACCTCATCATGATTTATCCCACTCCTATTTATGGTCGTGGTTCTGACCTCTATCACGGGCTGAAACTGAACGATCTCGCTGTGCAGTATGATCCTTTGGTGCAACCTGCCCTTCTTCGCCACGAAATCCGCTCATCACCTCAGTCGCAAGCTACTATCGCTGCTGCACGTTTCGGTGCTGCTCGGATCCTGGCAGGCCAAGATGACCGGGTTATAGTGGTAGTTGGACCGTGCTCAATTCATTCGACGGAACAAGCCCTTGAATATGCGCACCTCCTGAAAGAAAAACTATCCACATGGCCAAACCTGCTTATCATCATGAGGGCATACTTGTGGGTCCTTTTTAATTTTATGTTCGTATCGTAACTGAGGTACCATTGGAATCTACAGCGAAGTACGTTAATTGGACTTAACGTCGATAAAACCTCTAATATAGTTTCTAGAAACCCCGTACAACTGTCGGATGGAAAGGTCTCATCAACGATCCAGACATCGACGGCACCTTCAAAATCAACAAAGGGCTTCGGCTGGCCCGGCAGCTCCTCTGTGACTTGACTCACCTTGGCATCCCCGTCGGCTCTGAACTTCTTGATACCATCTCTCCCCAGTATATCTCGGACCTAACATCCTGGGGTGCCATCGGTGCGCGGACAACCGAGAGCCAGCTTCACAGAGAGCTGGCCAGCGGTGTTTCCTTCCCTATTGGCTTCAAGAACGGAACGGACGGAAGTGTGAGTTGTGTCATCATTCTCTTACCTCGGATAGGATTAGTTTGGGTCTGACCGCCATATTCTTAGATGTCGGTCGCCGTGGACGCAATGCGTTCGAGCTCCAACCCTCACGCTTTCATGGGGGTGACTGAACAGGGTCTGGCAGCCATCGTGAAGACACGTGGAAACCAAGACGTCCACGTCATCCTTCGTGGTGGTACGAGTGGCCCTAACTACTCTGCTGAGCACGTCCAGAAGGCGGCTGCAGCTATCACGAAAGCTCGTCCACAACATCATCCCTCGATCATGGTGGATTGTAGCCGTGAGTGATCTTACCATTCGTCGGCTGTGGGCTTCCCATTGATCGGTCACCGTGTAGATGGCAACTCCCAAAAGAACCACAATAATCAGCCTAAAGTTGTCGATGTCATTTGCGAACAACTTCGCGCAGGAGAACGCAATATTACTGGTGTAATGATTGAGTCGCACATCAACGAAGGCAGACAAGATGTTCCACCAGAAGGTCCCGCCAGCCTCAAGCACGGTGTCTCCATTACGGATGCCTGCGTGGACTGGGCAACCACTGTCCAGATGCTGGACCATTTGAATGAGGTACGTCTGCCTTCTTCGTATAGTCTTGGCTTCCCTAATGGCGATATAGGCTGTTACACATCGTCGTAACGCGCTTATAGAGGCAGGGCTGAAGAAGCCGGCTGCTTTCCGGAGTGCACATGGGGCTGTTTGAGTTAGATAGAGCTTAGATATCAAGGTATGTAGCTTACTAGAGTAGGCCTTGATGTTAACTTATCTCCAACCAGAGGAACGACTGATATGTACAACGGCCGTTCGAACCGAACAATCTCTACTGTATCTATTATCACAGGCTAGTTATTTGTATCTATCCATTCCATAAAGCATCTGCAACCCCCCTCTACGTTTTGCCGCAAATTGCCGCTTGTCCGCGTTAACCACGACACTTCGTGATAGGATGGATATATCTTCATAGCTATGAAAACACATGTCGGATGCGAGATGACGCTGGGTCCAATGGCCCATTTTGTTCAGCTGAAAGTACGTATCTCTTCGGTCACGGCGATACTGGTTTCTACA